CTTAGTTGCTGGCTGGGGCTAAACCACGACAAACACTCAAAGTTGCAACCAAAGTCAACCGGGGCTCTGCTTTGGGCATATTAAATAAGATACACATGTGTATGACTGTGTGCTAGGTACTTTGAGAAATAAAGTCCTAAACATATAAATTTGGGCATCTAAGAATAAACTGAAAACTGACACAGCATGATTTTGACCATCACCGCTTTGAACTTTGATTCCTGACTGTACATAGGAGATGGAAGTACCAGCTACAGGACGCTGTGAAGACAGGTTCTGAACTTTTGAACGGTTTCAGGATGCCACGTCAAGGCTCTGTGCAAATACCAATGACGAAACCAGACATTTTGAATTCACCATAGGAAGTGGATAATGTCCATTAAACAAGGGCCTGAAACCATTCTCTGAATAAGACAGTTGCACCATTATACACTAAACAAGAAAAGTGGCTCTTTAGGGTTAAGGTGAAAAAAACCATAATGTGGTTTGTTACATAATTCAGGCTTGATGAAAGCAGGCACTTTTACAAATTTCTCAGTACTTCATTTTGAAGCCTTAACAGATTTTAGATACCATTTGTATCTAAATAGCCAAAACAGCATCTCCACGAATTACAAGAATTTCTGTGCAGAGGGTCAGGAACATCTGCTTCTCTGCAGGAGACTACAAACCAATATCAATGCTATTGCAGAGGGAAGAAAACAATGCAACTTATCCCACATGCCCAAAGTATGAAGGATTTGGAGATAACATCACTTAGCTAAATATTTTTAGAGCATTTAGCATGAGAGAATTAAGATCATCAGTAATAGAGAAGGTGCCAAAGGTCCTGTCTAAAAGGATGGACAATATCAACAAAGCTGTTCTCATGACCGCATGCGCAACAACTCAGAGAAGAAAACAGCTGGCCAAATTTAGCTGAACCGGGGAGAACAACTCTAGGCTTGACAACATGTTGTCCCTGAGTGGTTCATCCACAGCTGCTGCTGCCTTCAGCACCTCCTGGGACAGATTCTGGGAGAGAAAACCCTACTCCACACGTACAGAACAATTCCTGGTTCTTTTATGTAAAACCCTGGAGGAAGAGACAAGAGGCACAGAAATGGCTTGGCCCTCTTCAAACAAGCAGCAGATGTCTTTATGCATGAGCAGTGTGTGGGAGACCCTCTCCAGCAAATTACAGTGCTACAGGGTCTGGCTCCATGAAACTAGAGATTGGATCCAGAGATTAGAAATAACACATGTGACTCAATTAGCAATACACTGGCTGCCAGACAAGCTCTAGGGCCATTTTCCATGATCGTGGGTCTTATCTTCAAAACCCAGCCTCCTCCCACACTTCAGTGCTACCATCATGTTCAATGGTAATATTCAACCATCACTACAAATGCTTCTAACTAGAAGTTGTTAACTGTTTGCTTATCTAGTACCTACTCATTGGAATTTGCCATCATTAGAGAACACACCGAGCATAAGCCATGACTGACACTCCACTCTCAGCTAACAACCAATTAAAAGCTCAGCTATTCATCATTTTCTGCCATGTGTCCTTTGAGAAAGCCACCATTGAGTCACCCATTTCTTCAGAAATTAAGAAGAAGTTGATTTGCACCCTCCAAATGAAGGAAATTCTGTGGTTAGAAGGGTGCACAATAATTGCAATGACATCTAGTAGTCCAGAAGGAACTAATAATGACTCTTGAGCTTCAGCACTGTGATTTCTGGAAGTGTCATGTTCCAGGTCAAGGTATCCTGTTGAAACAGTCCTTCACTAAGTAAAGACAATTTGGAGAGTTGGGCTGTAGTTGTTTGTTTGTTATGCATCACTAATTATGTTTCCCTGGGCAGTGGAAGAACTCAAAGAAGAGTGCTAGAAGGTTTCTCAAGCACACCACAGGCGAGGCAGACAGTTTCAGACCTGACGTCAAAGCCTCCATGCTTTACATCACATTGCAGTCATGATGACTGGCCTTCCTCGTCTTTCTTTGATATTAACCACATCAAACACAGCTATTGTTCACATTTCAATTGATCTCTTTACTTCCAGATTTTCACTTTTCACTATAATATCATGCTACAGTTTTGTTTTATTCATTTCACACCTTACCTGTTAGTATTCTCCAGGACTTCAACCTTCTTACGCAGCTCACTATTTTCATTTGAACAGGTCTCAACTCTGGAGACAGCACAAGGAAAGAAAGAGGAACTTAAAAAACCAGTCATTTATTAAAGAGATTGTAAAACAAACCAAATTTGCTTTTACAACGAGCTATGATCTTGCCTACATTTAATGAAAAGTTACACCAAATAATGAAGTCATAATCTTTAATCATACTTCATAGTGTAAAAGACATTGCAAAAGATACTACTAGCTGTGGAGGGAGCACCTGTTTACAGTGCTCGACTACATCCCAGTAGGTGCAGCTCATTCAGGAGGGGCTGTAACTACTTTTTGCCCCTTGAAATAGAAACAGCAAAGACCCTGCTCAGACTTTCTCTGAGTATCGGGCCATGCGACAGATACTTTAAAAGTCACAGAACATGCTACATTTGTTGTCAGCAAGTATTTTGTGCAAAGGTGTTCCTTTGCATTTCATTGCTAGGATGAGGCACCAAGCAATTTGGCAAATGCCATGCTTCTGAAATCAGATCCTCAAATTTCAAGTTTATGGAGGCTAATAAGCCAGGAGATTAATTCCCGAGAGAGTGCTCTTTTCCACACTGCCCCTGGAAACCGCCTAAGCTAAAGGAGATTATCATATAACATGCCACATAGGAGGTCCAAGTAAAAATATGGGACTCCTAAAAAGACAAACATGACCATCCAGAATAGCTTCAAGAACGAAAAAGGTAGAGGGAAATAGCTTTGATATCTGTATGCATAGGGTGGAATTTCAGAAGAGTAACTCTGAGAAAGCAAGACTCAGCTATAAAGAGCTAAGAAGAAAAAAAAGGAAATTATATCAAGGATATCACCAAAGATGGTACAAGGGGTTTAACAGATCCATCTGGTGAAGTGCATAAGAGAAATACTAGAATACTTGTCTCTTGGAAGAAAGATTAATTTGGGATATAAATCACTGACTGGGGGTTTGGCTCCTTCTCGCTAAAGGAAGTTGATGGGTCACATGCTGTTTTCCTGAGTCCTGCTTATTTTCCCAGGCAGTCTTGACTCACCCACTTCCTATTTCTGTCTCCATCTGCACTAGAAGACAGAATATATTCCCTCTGAATCCACCTTTCCCTGGACACTGCCCACCCACTAGGCCAACAGAGCTACATGAAGGGGAGGCCAATAGCAGATGGGTCTTGCCTTATTTAAGGTTTAAAGTCTTTGTCGGCATGTTAGCAACGTGTTGCAGGTAGACACAGCTATGAATGCAACATCCCAGCAGAATGCAACATCCCAGCACACGTACAGGCAGAAGCCAGAAGAAGGGCCTTTTCTCAGTCATAACCACGAGATGGCAGCTGGCACTCTGTGCACAAAACAGTCCCAGCATCAACAGCTGGATCCCTTCCCAGTCCAGCAACTAGTGCTATTGGCCCGCTTGAAACAGGAAGGAGGCTGGCTTACTTTTTTTCCAGACTGTCCATGTATTCTTTCTTTTTTCTTCTACTTTCCTGGGCAGAGATCTAAGGAAAAAGGAAGAAAAACACCAAATATTTGCATAGAAAAAAAAGCAGAGATGAATTAATAAACTGGTAAAAAGCCCTGACGTTATTAGATTCAAGCCTCCGTGCTGTTCTCATTTCTATTCCTGGCAAGCAAAGCACTGACTTGGTCTGTTTCCACATCCTGAAGCAAGACTGCTCCTCTCAGTAGCAGGAAAAAGATCATTCCCCACTCTTACAGAACTAACCTTAAAAAGTAAATCAGATTCATCTGGAGAGAATATGCTAGGACAAATACTGAAAGATGATCCCAGGACAATGCTTCGCATCTGGGAGAGGAAAAGCCCATGCATGCGTTAGAAAGCAGCTTTGCAGAAAAAGACTTGGGGGTCCTGATGAAGAAGTTGAACATTAAGTCAGCAATGTGCCCCTGTAGCAAAGGCAGACAAGCAGATCGGGTCTACATTAACAAGACTGTAGCTAGCAGGTCAAGAGAAGTGGTTCTTCCCCTCTATTCAGCACCTGCAAGACCACAGTTGAGGACAGCGTACAGTTCGCGGCTCTGAAATAAATACTCTGGATGTACAGAACCAAGTCCAGAGGAGGGCCACTGCTATAATAAGCATGCTGGATCACATGACATATCACAAAAGGCAGAGAAAGCCAGGACTGGGTTTGTTCAGGTTTAAGAAGAGAAGGCTAAGGAGGAAATCCTATTGCTGTCTTCAACTATCTCACATAGCGAAGATGATATCAGAGTCTTCTCAGAGGTGTACAGCAAAATGGCAAGAGGCATCAAATACAAGCTGCAGCAAGGGAAATTCCAATTAGATGTTAAGAATTCTATTTATTTGTTTTTACCACAAAAGTGGTCTAATATGGGAATAGATTGCTCAGAGATGCTGGGAACTCTTCACCCTTTGAGACAGTAAAACGTGACTGGACAAGTCCCTGAGCAACTTGATCTAAGCTGACCCTGCTTTCAAAGCAAGGAGTTGGACTGAAGGACCTCCAGAGATCCCTTCCAACATAAATGACTCCGATTGTATGAAAGTGGTACATAAAATGCACAAGGTCACTTTCAAAAATTTTGAAAAAATATATTGCAAGACCAAATTCCAATTCAGTGTAGGCAAATTTACACCTCTAGCTGCAAAACCAATAACAGAATGCATTAACCTTTAAAGATGTGCTAATATCCTCTAGAACAAGTGAGCTGGCCAGGTCTGAAAAAAAATGCTTTCCTCCCTATCGCTAGCTCTTCCCCATGTTGGAAGAAAGAAAAGACTTGTAGGGCATTTCACAGCCTTGGTATCAACCGTTCATTTAAAGGTCATGGAATTCAGTGATAAAAAGACTAGGGCACTGAAATACAGAGTCAGATTTTAAAACATGAAACAGTGGAGAAGAACACCTTCATCACCATGGAAAGAACACAGAGGTCTTTGCCTACCATAAGGGTAGGATTGTACTGTTTTTGAAATGGAGCCAAGCAACAGCAACTTGATACCCTGCTTGCTAAATACTCTATTGTTCATGTGTTCAGGTAAATACCTAGACAGAGGCACACTGTCACAGCGACAGACAATTTGATGGATGTGTTTAAGAATAAAGAAAAACACTTTGTTAAAAGACATCTTACAGCATTCAACAGTACCACAGACCATTACTGCAGAAGTGCTGCAGCATTTTTTTAAATGGAGGATGAGTAGGAATTACCCAGCAAAGCTAACTAACATTTACCTTGTTCTTGATTTTCCTGCGGATTTTCTTCAGCACTTTCTCCTCTGCTTTTGTCAGGGGCAGTTTGGTAGGGATTGGGTACCCCTCTGCTATCAGCGTCCTCTTCTCCTCCTCTGTCAGGATGAGTGGGCCGGTCCCCTGTAATTTCTGCAAGTGTCACAGAAATTAAATAATGTAACAGTAAACGCACACAGCCTTAGAGAAAAGGGTGTTAGGGAAGAGAGGCAGCAACTCTTCCACTTCAGAGAGGACTCTGCCTACAAATGCAGCAGCCTCTTGCAATTGGGAATGCATGGAAGGGGAAGACCTTTTAGATAGCTTCCGTTCAAGAGACTGAACCTTTGGGACAAGATTCCCTCAAAACCGTTGTTCTTGGCCCAGCTCTGCACACACTGAGGCCAACAGTAAAACCTCCCTTGGCACAAACAGGGAGAGAGACAAATGAGAAGCACTACTGAAAACCCCTCCCTAAAGATCACCACTTGCTTTTGACAAGACAAGAGGATGGATGCAGATCTACCAGGGAGAGGTTAACCCAGCAGGGCTGGGCCCTAATGCAAAACACAGTCCATGGTGGGAGAAACCTAGTAACACTGTTGAACCCTGTCTCAGCTTAGAGGAGAGGCACATGATGTTCTCTGTGGGAACAGAATAGACCAGTGAGCAAGAATTACTAGATCTGCGGTTTTGACCAGAGATGGGTTTGTCTAAAGAACAACAGAAAGTTAGCAAACCCATGGCAAAAACAGAGAGAGAGAGAGAGAGAGAGATGCTGGAAAAAGCCAGCCCAACTTACATGTGGTGCAGTCAGGAGAGGGGAATTGGAGAGCGCTGAAGCTGTGCGCGATGTCACTTTAGCCGCGGCTTGTAGTTGGATCGGGCTCGAAGGAGGGAGCGATCTAGCTGGGCTCTGCCCTCCTTCAGAGTCACTGCCATGGCTGCTTGGAGGGGTTGGAGGCAAATGCAGGGGATCTACTGCTAAATGGCAAGAGAGACATGTAACACAAGGTTTTGAGGTGCTAATTTATATTTCCACTAGAGCTGCCACCATCACCACCACCCAGTTTCCAAGACTAGGACTCTCTGCTAAAAAATGGATCAAGCAAAAGTGGCAACTTGGAAGACAGAGCAGGTCTCCAAAGGAGGAATGAAACGCAGCAGCTATCTTTAGGTTCAACAGACAAAACAGGCCTCTGTGCATACGCTCCCGTCATTTCTACTTACACTTCAGCTGCTTCTCCAAATGCTTTGAGGTTTAAGTGTGGTCCTCCAGTACAAGTCCCCTGTCCCTGGGAAACCACATTAACAGAGGGCCCTGAGCCAGCGTGCTTTCTCTCAAAAAACAATAGTCTTCCCTAACAGGGAGGAGAGAAATAGTCTGCCTCCTAAGGACCTGGTTTGGCAGAACTGGGAGGAAGTGACAACCTAGTGACAGCGAAGGCTTTAATGTACTGATGGAGCAGGAGCAGCATAGGCAACCCCCACAGGAACCTCTCTCACACTGTGCTATCCAGGGCCCTAAGCTAACTTCTACTGCACTTGTAGCCAAAAGAACCTGTGCTAGAATTGGCAAGCAAAGTGCTGCTTATGACCAAATAGGTCTGGACCAAGAGAAACAGGGCAATGTCTCACCTACTCATATTACATGGACAATTTAGCAGATGTCTGGAAGAGCCATAACTAAGTCATTTTTTCTCTGAGATAAATTTACAGCAATGAAAATTGGGAGTAGGAAGATACAGGGCTGAATTTGCCACCTTCCGCTTCTGTTATACTTTGCAAGTTTGAGTTGAAAAGATCAAATGGGTGGTGGGGGAGGAAGGAAGAAAAATAGTAACAACAAAAAAAAGATATTATATATGAGCCCTTTTTGTCTGGCATTGTAACTCTAGTAGTTGCCAGGAGAAGATACACGCTTGAAAAACAGCAAGACCCTTAATCCCACAAAATGAGCAATTGAATCTATGCCCTGCATTGAGACATAGCCTCCCTTTTTCTACCTGCTGCATCACTTGCTTCTCTCCCTAGAGCAGTTCTACTTACCTACACAAATGAACTCACTAACAAAATATCAAGTGTTCCTAACTGAGATGCAGTTATCTGCTCAAATTTCAGCCCCAATATTTGGCTCTTTCAAACTTCCCTTGGGTTGAGAGATTATGTGCCACAAAACCATGTTTAACTTTCAGGACAGGGACCATTCCTCATTTATAGATTAGTGGAAAGGGATCCTGGTGGTTCTTAAAAACTCTACTAAAACTAATATGCTACAAACAGATGCACCTAACTTTTAATTTCATGTGAACTCACATACTTGCTTTTGTATCAGAGGTTAAAATGGTAAAGTTTCCACTTATGCTCTTCATGTTTTCTATGCCTTAGTTAAGTCCCCTCAAATGGATTTCTCTTGTAGCCTAAATAATCTTGGACTTTAAGGATTCAAGCTCCCTCCAGCAACTGTGCAATTGTTAATACGCTACAAACAAAAAAGGGATCATTTTCTTTGTGATGAGCAAGCAGGAGGAGAAGAAAAAACACATAAGTGGGCCAGAGAGGCTCTTCAGCAGCCTGAGTTGGATCCCTAGAAGGCAACAGCTTCAGCCTAAAGATTAGCATGGCGAACGAGGAAGCCAAATATTTAATCAGGGTAAAGTACATTCATTGTGCATTCTGGTCATCTCCCCCTGCATTTTGGGTTGGTAATTAACAGACCTTCCTTAGAAGAGAGGTTCAGGAACTGATCCACTTCATGGGGCTCCAATTTAATCTCTGGAAGAGCTTTCTGGCTCAGTGGTTTCATCTAGAAAAGAGAAATTAACAGCATGAAAACCCAAAGCACACATCTTAAAAATCTTAATAGAAGGATACAAGGATGACTTCTCCATAAATGGAGAGGTCTCCCTCTCCTCCTGCTCTGCTACAGGCAAAGCTTTAACTGCTTCACACAGTTTGCTAAACCAGGCTACAGAGAATACTGCCCTGACTACTCCCACTGTGGCTTTTCTTACTACTATATTTAGCTAAATAAAAGATTATGCCTCAGAGATGACATTTCAGACTGAAAGCTAGCATGCAACCCACTCAAATTACTTCTCTTAGCAACAGAGCTGCTGCTAGGATTTGCTGGACTGCACAGTCTGTTTGAGCAGAGACAGAAACACTCCTAGCAGTTGGGGCACAGCTTGTTCAAGACCTGTTGTCTTCTGGGAGCAAGAGCAAGGTGCCAGTCACTGAGCACCAGATTATCAGACCCAGGTTCATTTCACAGTGTGGAAGAGCAGGAAAAGAGGCAGTCACGGCTGACCAAAGTTTGGAAGACATCAGGCTTGCCCTGTTGACAGGGCTGGGGCACCAGGCTGCCAAGCTGTTGCCCAGAGCCTGCCTGAATGCTACAGTCCCAGGCTTGAGGAAGTCAGTCTGGCACATCACCATGCTCACTGCAGCCAAAATCTCTCTCAATAACCTGTGTAACTAATCCATGCAATGGTAATGAGCCACCAGCTAGTCCCAATATACTTTTTGCAAATCATGGCATCGCAAGCTATAGCAGGACTACATACTGGGGACAGCACATTCAGACTAGAAGAGGATTATGGGAAACTTGTGTTTAATTTTTTCAGTTTCTCATAAAATAATTTCTGTTGCACACATTTCTGATCCACATCCAAATGGAAACATTTATTTCCAGCGTACACTAACTCCACCCGGCCTGGACTGACATCGCACCCTGGGGACTGAGAACAGTCATGCTTCTTCCTCCACTGACAGGGGACTCTGGTGAGTCATCAGCTGCTGCAGTTCATTCTCCTTAACTGAACCACGGCCAAACTAAGCCCTTGAGAATGCCCACTGGCTGCTCCAGCTGTGGTCTAAAAGGCATCAAATGCTCCTTACGAGGCAGGTTGGTGTGGAAGCAGCAGCAGCTCAAAATGTCAAAGCTTCATAGATCTGGAAAAAGTGACTTAGCAGGCAAACAGGGAAACTCTCCAGTCATTTCAAACAAGGAGCCTTGTTTTGATTAGGGGAAGGCACAGCAGCACTAAAGCAAGTTATTATGGAAGATACTTAGCTTGTCACAGGCTTGATAGGGCAAATAGGTTAGTTCAGGTGGGACTGGTTCATTAGAAACTATTTAAAGATTTTTAAAAACACGGGCCCCACGCTTTGGGGCTAGCATAGAAGATAAATTTGTGCATCCAGCCATTAAGACCTGAAGATGCAGGTTAAGTGTTTTGAAACACAAGCTCTTGCAGCAGCAGTGGGACACCAGCAAACCTTAGAAAATATTAAAGCAGACTGCAGTGTGCACCCTGAGTTGACAACCTTTGGCACCAAGGAGGCTACACTGGTATGCAGAGTCTTAGGAGAATCTATAGCTAATTGCGCAGAGAGGAGAACAGAAAGTCTGCCTGTACCAGGGCATCCGTCTGTAGCTCGGGCTGTTCCCCCTCCAGCGACGTGGCCGTGACAGTGAGACTGACTGAGGGGGCAAGGCCTGATGTCTCACACAACGCTGGCTCAGTCTTTATTGCTGCTGGAGTTAGCTCTGTACCCAGACACCATTCCTCATTTTCCAGGTCACCTGCCAGGGAAGGAAATCGGACACCACATGTTTAGGTCAGAGACAAAAAGACTACAAATGAAAATAATGTCATCCCTCCTCCAGAGGAGGGAAACAAACACAGAAGGCATTTCAGTCTATCAACAAAACTCTGCCCTTACTATTCAGCTCTCAGTTAATGCAGACAACCGTGCCATTTCAGGGCTGTAACCTAATCCTAGCCCCAGGATAGAGAGAGGAGCAGGAGGAAAGACACAGAGCACTAATCACTGTACATTGCCACAAGCTGCTAACACGTAGCAGAACAAGACTAAACAAGCCATTGGGTAGAGCAGCCAGGGAGCCATGTCCTACACACACTAATGCCTGCTGACTCAAGTCTTATTCCTCCTTGTAGAGATAGCATTTAGCCAAACTTCTGCTCTTGCTACTGCTTGCAATCATCAAAGAGCCGGGGCAGTGATACTATACTTTTAAGAACAAAGGATTTTTCATACTCTCAACTTCAAAATTTTTCCCCCAAGGATTCATTTACTAAGTATAAAAGAGGATAAAGGCGTTGATGATTTCACAGGAGCACCAGTGCCGTGGTGATTGTGCTAATTTCCTCCCCAGAGCCTCTGGAGTCACAGCACCAGAGACATATTTTGACTGGCAGCAATGAAACGTGCATCATGTGTTGGCAGAACTGTTCCCTAGCCCCACTTATTGCAAGCTCACTCATCAGGAGAAAGCCATGCAAATTTTCCCTGGACAAAGCTGAAGGGTTTGCCTTGCTCTGTCAAGAACTGGAAGAAGGTTGGTATGGTAAGGTGGTAGCTCCCCATGTCCATTCATGAGGCAGCCACTGTTTGGCTTTCTGAAAAGGGCCTTATTCTCCCAGGTCTAAAGTATGATAGAGGATCAAGAACTTAGAAGGAGTTTAAACCTTTAAAACAATTCCACAAGGCTATTAACAACCACACTTAAAAAAAAAAAAAAAAATCAAATGCATTGTTGGCAGTTGCAATTCTACCTTAAAAAAATTCCCATCCCTTTTGCTAGAGTTCAGTCATGTAAGTTCTTTTCTCTTGCAGGAGAGTACCTTACACCAGCTGTACTGCACCCCAACAGTGTACAGCACAGTCCTCTGCCACAACTCATCAGTAGTTGTGAGAAGCACGTCTATAAATCAAGCAGTTGGAATCTGAGGCCAAATATACATAAGAGAAAAGAGTGTTGATCTTGCTTTCAAAGCTTTCTCCTGACTTCATACAGAGTATTTACCGCATATACAGAATTAAAGCAGAGAGCAAGCACGTACACAGTACAGCTAGTAGACAGCAACAGAGTTTTGAAATAACTGCACGCTGCCTCAGCAGTCTGCAAGGCTGACACAAGACCCTTACACATCTAGATGTATCAATCTGGTGAGATGTCAATGGGGTTCAGCTGCCAACAGGTAACAAAAATAAGAGCAGGCTTACGGCCCCTGTGCTGCTGCCTGCCCTTGCTATTAAGACCACACATGCATACGGCATGCAGGCGCTGGGCACAAGCTGGGTGACTGGAAGAAAGGAGAAGTATGTACATCTCCAGCGCTAGTAATTACTTTGTGGTGGGACCTAACCTCCACCGCTGGCAAGGAAGGAGGTAATTTGAGTGAAGACACACCAAGGAATTAAAAATGAAAAATACGTATCCTGTAATCAGAAGCTCAAGAACAGTGAGCCCAGCTCTGCCAAGAGAAGTAACTGTACAGCAAGGGCTAAACACCGTATTTAAGTTTCTGGTGGGCTTACTCCCAAAGCTTTCTGGGAAATGCAGAAATATAAAAATAGAAGCATTTATGAAAAAAGAGGTAGCATTGTCTAAATATTAACTCAGGAGAGAGGACATTGCTCTCTTTCAAGCCCCCCAAGCCTCTCTACTCACAAACACGAGAGTGCAGCTCCCTCCCTGCTGACTGCAATGAAATACTCAGCGGATCCGTGGATTCCTTCGAGCTTGCTGTGTGTGGATCATTCAGAAAAGAGCTTTAAAATGGTATCTTTGCCTGGAAATCCAGAATCCCTTGGCAAATACAACTTTCAAATGCTTGTTTGGATAACTTCTGCCAAAATCTCCCCCACATCACGTTGTGCAGAGCCTTCTGCTTGCTGCCTCTTGCACCTCTGGGTCAAGCTACACAGTGGCAGTGCTACCCTCTATAATCTACTTTAGACTCCCTTTGGGAGGGAAGGCTACATACAAACAAGAGCTATCAGTGAGCCAAGTAATTAGCCCTGAACTTTCTGAGATTTGTATCGTCATGCAAGCAGAAGAGAAATCTAGCCGTGGGTACCCAGAGAAACAGTGCATGTCCTCTAAGGCTGCACTTTGTGATGTTTATCACCTCTAATCCCCAGACTCATCACAAAGATTCAGCTGCTGTAAGACAGCAAGATATGCTGGCATTCAGCCGGTCATTTTAATCCTCTGGAACCTGACTGCTGATTAACCTGACATCCCTGCCATCACCACTTAGATCCACACAGACTGCATGGAATTATTCTAGGCTTTAAAGCCAGTCTAACCAGTTCATAGAGTTATGGATGGTTTTCAGCAACAGCAACACGCTGCGTTTAACACTGAGGTGACTTTGAAGAGCCGCATCTAACACTTTTTTGACACTGCCTCTTATGATGCATGGTGACAGCTGTCATTCCAGATGAACAACCCTGTGAAAGGAAGGGACGGAGCAACACGCTGGTCGAATCCCACCTTGATACTCCCCTCTCCCCACTTTTCCCAAGCCCCTGTTATGCATTCATTACCACGATCAGTGTTGTGCAACGAGTTTCTTTTGACACATTCCAGCTTCTGAAGTTGCCAACGATCCCTCCTCTGCTCCAAGAGAGCTGCAAGGACATTTCCCGCTCTGAGCACAGGGGGTTGACATTATCTGAAAATCCTTCTTAGTTAATTCTTATAAAAGCCCCTAAGCACCTCAGTCTACTCTGCCAAGCACTGTACTAGCCGAACAAAGTGGCAGCCCTTGCCCCAATGAGAACGCTGCACAAAATTATACAAATTTAGGTAAATAGGGGGGAAACTGAGCAGGCTACAGAATACTGGTCATACTGAGAGGCATGGCACACCCTCCAGGACAATGGTACTTCTTTCGGAAGGATATGAAACATCATGAGAAATCTTACAGAATAATGAGAACAAGCAAGAAGGTGCACATGACATAGAGAAATGAAAGGGCAGTGGAGGCTGGCTCAAGGAACCCACGGGAGCAGAAGGGAGGTGTCTTCTCCAAACCATGCAAGACATGCTGTGGAAAAAGTAGATGACTAATGCCAAGAAACTGAAGGTATTTGTATTTATGTTTATATTTGACATGATCCAGGAGGTACACGTGAACTATTGAGACAGCATCCAAAACAAAAGGCTGAGAAAATCATCTTGGTGACAATATTCTAGATGAACAGGCCAACATTGCATTGCTAAGGTGAGACAAAACATGCTGCAAACCAGTCAGATACAAAGAGAAGAGAGCCTGAACAAGAGATTTAGCTATTCAAATGGCTAGGAAAATCCACATCCTAAAAATGGTCACTTTGGCTGTTAGAAATCTCTTCTCGGGCTTCAAAATCCAGTCTGTTGAACAAATGATACCAGCTGTTTTACCTCAACTGAAGCTTCCTATGAACTTCAGAGCTCTGTTGCGCAATGACTGGATGAGAAGCACTCCTCTTCACCTACCCTTTCATGAGTCCATGAATGCTAGGCATTTTGACACATGAAATATGTCATTTAAGGAGTCTACATGGTACTTAGCAAAATCCCAGCTAACGCTTCTATGTATGATGCACTAGCACTGTTAAATTCTACATACAGACTATGTTAACGGAATATTAATGTTGCAAAGTACCTGGGTATTAAGCAATACCTATGAAGGTTTAATTCAGGGTACTTTTGCATGTTATACACACCTAAAAATAGGAATGTTTTAGTAATGTGATCAAACAATTTCTCTGCAAAACCTGTGCCTTACCCAACATGCAGAATGCATGGCACTCCCCTAACTGAGGAGCTATACCATGTTTTGTTATTCTCATTGTCTCACGCACAGCCTCAACTCTCCTTTACCAAATCAATTCAAATTCTGTTCCCACAGAGCTGTTTAATTCCTTCCTAGGGCACAATCAAAATGCTTCACCAACCTGAATTAATTTCCACAGCAGTCCTGGAAATTCAACTGAGCCATGGAGAGATTAAGACCAAGAAGTATCTAGTAATTTAAAATGGCCAACTAGAGACAACTGGAATTGGATTTTTCAGATGATTTAGCACTGTTATTATACTTTATCAAAAACACAGTATGCTTTGAGTTTTCAGGTGCGGCCACTTCTGCAAGTTAAGCATCAGAGTTTCAAATCAAGCATCCCAAAACCCCACTCATCAAGCAACCCAGCGCTTGTGACACATGCATCTAATATCTTCTCTTCTGTGTCCAAGACTAAAATTGCATTTCTTCGGAAAGTTTTTCTGTGCTGCTTTTGTCATCAAGCTTGTCCTACTTTTTCTGCAGACTCTTGTTTAGCATGCATCTTCCACCTTTTAAAAAAAAAAAAAAAAGCAGGAGCCTTACAAAGCGCCAAAGTAAGTTCAGTCAGTGTACTGAGCAAAGTTTTCACTGACAGGAAAAACTCTAAATATGTCCTCTTCTTTCCCAGCTGCACTCATCACAGCTCCAGCTTGGTCCCAGATACAACATGCAATGTGTTGCAAGATGCTGTGTATGCAATAATGCGGGAGAGAAAGCTCAAAACGGGACATTATTCCCTCAGTACTGTAAGTGTAAGCACTGCACATCATGCATATCTACAGCAAGGTGTCATAGAATCATAGAATCGTTTAGGTGGGAAAAGACCTTT